GCACTGGGTCCTGGCCAGGGACACCTGCAGTCGCTAGAAGCCGGACACTGGACCCACTCATCCCCGCCAGCCCTGACCCTGTGCCAGGCACCGGGGTGTCCCCATGCTAGAGGACCCCCCGTGGCTCCCACCCAGGGCTTGCTGCTCTCTCAGACACCTCCAGAGAAGAGATCCTGGTGGCCCTGGAGCTGGCCAAGAGGGTGAAAGGCCTGGCCAGGAGGATCTCGGCCACGCTCTGGGACCCGGCGCGGGAGGTGGCGGCACGACGGGAGGAGATGCGGGGGCTGCGGCCGGGGCTGCTGGCTGGAGCTGCCCTGTCCCAGCAGAAGGTGGCTGTGGTGCAGCTGCGGAGAGCCCTGCGGGAGCTGCAGGTAGGGGAGCACCTCTGCCCACCAGCTGGGACATGGATGGCATCCATCCCGCTGGTTGGATGAGGTCTGGGCTTTGTCCTGGTGTCAAGACCCTTGCGCAGCACTGAGGGCAGGGGCTGGGGGCTGCCTGCCTGAGGTGAGGTGGTGGGAGTGGGCTGTGTCCCTGGAGCTGGGCTCCAGCACCCCAGCAAGGACCTCCGGCCCCTTTTTCCAGGTGCTGAAGAGCCAAAGGTGGGAGAAGAAGCAGGAAGCAGCTGAGGTGCTTGGGACAAGTCAGATGAGCCAGCCCAGTGCCAAGGTGGGCACAGGTCAGGCCAGGGCCCCCTCACCCAGGTGAACCCTGGATGGAAATCAAGTGAAGAAGCCCTGAATCCTGGTTGTGTCCCCGTAACATCTCCTCCTGCTCTCCCAGGACCAGGGCTTAGCAGGGAACACAGCGCCAGGCCAGCAGCCTGGGCCAGCAGGTCCAGACCGTGGGGACAAGCACGTCCCCCATGCCTGGGTGACTGAAATGTGGGCACGGAGCGTGGCTTCCCAGGGTGGGACACGGAGCGTGGCTTCCCAGGGTGGGACACGGAGCATGGCTTCCCAGGGTGGGACATGGAGCATGGCTTCCCAGGGTGGGACACGGCTGTGCTTGGGGACTGTGAGAGGCCTCAGGCCTTCACTTAAACCTGCTCCTTCAGCCCCACCACCCTACGCTCATTCTCCACCCTTCTCCCCCGCCAGGAGCAGGCACCACTGACAGCAGCCAGGGAGGGGACAGCCAAGCCATGGGAAGCACAGGGCAGGGCTCACTGCAGGAACCCTCACTGAGTGGAGTGACACAGCTGTGGTCGCTGACCTGGGGTGACACGGTGAGTGGGAACCCACAGGGTCCCCAGCTGCTGCTCCAGGGCAGGGACAGCACCCCAGGCCTGCAGCTCTCCAGTGCAGGGCTGTCCCTGCCAGGCAGGGAGGTGGTGCCAGCCCTGCCTGTCCCTGGAGGTCCAGCACATGCTGGCCAAGGCGAAGAGGCAGCAGCTGTGGGCTCAGCACTGGAAGCTGCTCCAGGGAGAGCTCAGGGATGGGGCAGCACCAGGCCAGGAGGTGACCAGGGAGATGGACGTGGGAAGACAGCTCGTCACCATAGGCTTAAAGCTCCTTCCCTGGCTCCGCTCTCCCAGGGCAAGGCAGCTCCAGGGAGCAAAGACACCCCAAAGCTGCCTTGTCCTCATCCCTGTCCCCTGCAGTGGGACACAGCTCGCTGGCAGGAGGTGGTCACACAAGGCCTGAGCCTGGAGGCAGCACGACGGGAGCAGGAGGCGGCCGGGCCGGACTTGAAAGTCCTGCTGCAGAACCAGGGGCAGGAGCTGCAGGGCTGCAGGCAGGGCCTGCTGCAGGTGGGCAGGGAGGGCTGGGGAGAACACCAGGCTGCAGCCCCAGGTGTCCTGCACGTGCTTCAGGCCCGGGCAGGGCAGCAGAGACGGGCGCTGACCCGGGTGCCGCG